GAAGAGAGAAAGTGGGGGGGAGGGAAGAGAACGAGGGAAGGGAAGCAGGGAGGGGGGAAGGGAGAAAAAGGAACGGCACCGAGAGAGAGAGAGAGAGAGAGAGACGAGGAGGAGGAGGAAGAGGAGGGGGAAAAAACTCAGGGCATGGTACCACTCCTCGTCAGGTCCCTCCGCCGCGGCTTACGAAAAAAAGAGTCCACCGCCACATCACCGCCTCCTCAGCCACACAGCTCAGGGCGACTTGCTGCGCGCCTAGCCAGCTTCCCCTATTCTTCCATTTCCCCCCCCACACACACACACACACACGCTTCCCTTCCAAAACCAGGAGTGAACAAGAACCTCCTGCTTTATCTTCCTGCATGGAAAGTACTAGCCAGGATTAGCAAGCAAAGCGCGGAAAAGGAGGGGGGGAGGGTGAGCGCGCGCACGTTCTGAGCGGCGGAAGGATACCAAAGGCGATTGCCTCATCTCAGTGACGGGCTAATTCCCTACGGAGTCACGTGACGGGCGCTTGCTGGAGAGGATGGGGGCGCTTCCCGCTTCTCGTCTCCCAACCATCAACCCCCCCCTGCAGCGAAGGGAGGTTCCCCCCCCTTTTTTTAATTAATAGCTGACTTCGGTATATTGGAGATGGAAGAAGTACGATCTGGCTATTAGGTTCGTGGTTGAACCTCTATAGGCCCTGGAGTGTGGGCCCTTTGCAAACATGGTTGCCAACTGACCGAGCAAAGAAAGGCTGACCTGCTGCTCCTGTTCTCTTTTGAAGCCACTCGAGTGATAGAATGGGGCGGGCGAAAGGTTACCACGGTGCGGCGATCATCGTCGATTATTTTTATTTAAAGTTGGTAGCCCTCGTTTCAAAACAGGCTTGGGAGATGCGATTCCTGCAGTCTCGTTCCCGGGGGGGGGCGTGTAGATTACTAAATCTGTAGGATTAACGGAGAGGAGAGATGCAATGGGATGACTTCAGCCGTCTTTCCTAGCTAGTGCTCAAGGTGCCGCTCCCTCCCCCTTCCTATTAAACGACGGCGCCCCAAATGCAAAGCTGAGCGTGGGATGCCTGCAATGGAGCTGCATTGCACAGAGGCGGCTGCACAGCAGCTGGGCATCCGGGCGGTGTTAGCCCGAGGGGGGAAAATGTGTTCTTTCTCTTGCAGCCGTAGACACCTGTGAACTTGAAAGGGAAGGGACTGCCTTCCGTGGCTTTTGTGTGCCGAGCTGCTGATGTCACTCGGTGTTCAAGAACTGACAGCAAAGTCGCCCTGGCTAACAATTGGCTCTCGCTAAAGAGGAGCGGAAGGAGGAGGAGGAGGGCAAGGGCAAGCGCTACCCGAGAGAAGCGGAGCGAAGAATACAGGGAAGCGGAGCCTTGGAGCGCTATGGCCCCCAGGTGGCCGCAGCGCAAGCGATAAAGCCGCGGCGCCCAGGCCCTCGCTTCCCAGCCGCCCTTCTTTCTGAGCTTAATGGTTAACAGCCAGAATGGGGAGGAGCGGGGGTGCCGCTGGCTGCCAAAGTCTGCTGCGCCACCTATTGCCTCGGAAGAGGAAACCGCGGCTACGAGGCAGGCAGGCGCGCGCAGGCATATGCAAAAAAAATAAATAAATAAAAAGCTGGCCGCCCGAATCTGCTCACAGTTCTCAGGGCCGCCTGCCCAGAGAGTCCACTAGCCCCTGTGAGTCCCACCCGTCCCCTCAGGAGTTTGTCTGTCAAAAAATAATAATAATAAATGAGGGGCTAGCACGCCTTTCAAATCAGTGAAAGTCAGCCGCAAACTGAAGACCAGTCAATTAAACAAAAATCAAGCATCTACTGTACTATTGTACTGTATTCCTTTTATTTATTTTTTTTGCTTCTGTTGGATTTTACTTTGCGCAGCATGTAAAAGTAGTGTTACCGACCGACCATTGGCCTTCTGTCGCCTCTTGTGTTGTTTCGCCTCTCTTACAACCATACTGGGCACCCACTGCCATCGTTTCTGCTGACCCCTAGAGTTAAATTGTGAAAACTTCTCAGCCCATCGCCTTCTGCCATGTTCTTTTGTGAGGACAAATGGAAATAATTCATTAGTGTCTCTGCAGTATTCCTGTTTTAAATGGTTGCCTCATGCTTTCATACTCTACTGGCCTAACTGGTTTTCTCAAGTGAATTGTCATAAAATTATCTTTATAATGTAAGACTATTCTTCAGACGTCACTTGCTTCAGTTACTCTGCTATATGTCATCCACATGTACCATTTGGGTTTTTTCTTCTTTGTGTCCCTTCAAATCCTTGGCCAAGAAACTCAAAAAAGCTTCTAATATTTCCATGACTTTAACTGCATGTTTTGGCACAGATGCTGTTAAGAAGCACCCACTGAAAATTCCAGAGAAGTTTTGAGTTTAGCCTTCCCCAACATGGTGTCTTTCAGATATTTTGATCCACCTTGGCCTATGATCAGGAATTTGGGGAACTGTAGTCTAATATACATAACAAGACAACAGGCTGGGGAAGACTATAGTCATTGCCATGCTAAAGTATGATTATACCCCACTTTGTATGGTGATACTGATAATGATACTGTGATTTCTCTCTTTCTCCAAAAGATGAAGAATTGGACTATAATTTTATAATACTGGCTTGGTGTTCTATTTATAATTTTATAATACTGCCTTGGTGTTCCAATTAGCAGTTTCAAAGTTGCTAATTGATAGTATCTACTAGACTGACTATTAAGGGAAAAGGAAAGATTACCCTCAATAATCCATATAGAAGTTTATGGAACTCCATAAAGTTGAAGTCTCAATCAAAGCATTTAGGGATTGTATTTATAAAACTTTTCACAAAGGCTATATTAATACTGTACAAGTCTCATAATATTGAATTAGACTTAATAATAACTTTTCCCTAATGACAGTTTTGAGCTACAACACATTCAAAATTAAAACTCTAATCACATAGAACATTATTTAATCAAAAACAACAAGAAGAATGTGCCCTTGAGTCAATTCCAACCTGTAGTGATCCTTGCCAGCATTTTCTACATATAAAGTATTCAGAAGTAGTTGACATTCCTTCAGCTTGCCCAAGACTACACAGGCTGGCCAGTTTCTCAGGAGGCACAGTGAGGAATTTAACTGTCAGTCCCTAGCTCTGTAGCCAGGTGCTTCAACTCACTAGGCTACCCAGCCAACTAAAACCAGTGAATTTAAATTTTTATAATTTAAACATTATTTTTATCCACTCTGGTAGTTCCACAGAAACATGTATATCCAAACACATGATTTGATGGAGTAGAGGAGATGGTGAATATATGAGATTGTGCCAGCCCTGCCTTTTCATACACTCACCATAACGTCACAGCACCCCATCCCATGCCATGAACTGCTCTGTGTGCCAACAGAATAATCTATCGATTAAATAGTTATTCTAATCATAGACCTACTGATCTGTATTATGTGCCCATATCCTAAGTTAGTTGATAGTGCTGGAAAACATAAGTAAAAAAGGAATAGCATAAACCAGGATTGTGGGACTTCTGGCATTCTATTTCCAGATAATTGACATCTGAAGGGCCAAAGATGCCCTAGTTCTGGCTCTCAACAAATAACATGGAAGTTTTATTTTGCATTAGTCTTATTGGAACTAACATGGGGATACTTTCGGAAGGATGATGGGCATCATTGTGGGACTAGCCCTAATTGCCTTAGTAGCAAGAGCAGGCTTTCCACCTCCCTGAAAGTCAGGGCGAGATTCCCAACCTGCAGTTCACTTGTGGACTAGGGTGCAGTGGCACAGATGAGGACAATGCCTTGGAGGCCACATGTGTAGCCATGGTGGGCTGGGGATTGAAGGAAGAGAGCAGAGAGGACAAGGAGGACTGCTGGCAGCATTCGAGGACCAGGAGGTGTTGGCATTACTAGATGGTTCCATGGCAAACTGGGAGACCATCTGATGCCAGGATCCAGATCCAGGGCGTTGGGAAGAGTTCTTCATGCTGCTGGAGGAAGCTGCCCAAATTTGCTGTGATGAGGTGAGATGCTGTGAGGTGAGAAGGTTAGAAAACCAGTGGCGGGCATGCCACCAGCAAGAGTATCAAGAGCTAGCCACCCCACGCCAAGGGCCTCCTGATCACAACTGAAGCCAGTCAACCAGTCCTCCTACTTCTCCTCACTCTGCTCCCTGCTACTCCGGTGAACCCAGCCATGTGTGCATAGACTTTGGCTGTGCCTCCAAGGAAGAATAGCATACATATGGGGCAGCTGCCACTAGTGGGGACTACTGGGGAGTAACCGGGGAAAGTGCCCAGGCTACACTACTCCAGGGACAGCTGAGGAACTGTATCCACCATCCCTGTTGTGGCACTCTGTGCCTTGACCACCTGTGTGGGGTTCTAGAGCTGGTAGAGGAGGTGGGGCTCCACTCTTCCCAGTGGAAGGCTGTTGTGAACTAGTTCTGCTTGGGAATGCGATCGACTCCCTGATGCCCTAAAAGTTCTT